ATTACCCTGAAATACACCTCTCCAACCAGATCAAAGATGTGGCCAGACATACACCCCCTCCTTTTAATGATTGAACAAAGTGCATCACCTTCTCTCTTGGGAGTATTTTTTACAAATGCATGTTTGGAGTCCAGCCCTCTGAAGGTAATCAGGGGAGTCCAGGTACTCACCAGAAAACACCAGTGGAAAATAGACAAGGTAACCCAGAGCAAGGCTGCAGTTTGAGGGCTCAGCAGATACCTCAGCAGGATGTGTCATAGCACAGGGAGGTACCTAAGTTGTGCATGTGACTTTGGGCAAATCAGCTCACCCCTGGGACACAGTTTCCTGATCACTGTAGGGGCAAAGAGCTGTGCCCAGCCCCCCACAGAGTGTTATGAGGAAAAAAGGATAAACTTCAAGGGAAAACACTTTCAAAAATATGTAAAGCAACTATGAACTCAAAAGGAAGGGCTTCTCTACTTGGATGACAGCAAACAAATGAGCAAAGTGGACTCAATGGTTCTTAAAGGAAAACAAATGAGACCACTGTAAAGGATGGTTCAATTTACCCTACTTATAAATACTTCCTCATGCAGATCCTGCAAGTTAAATGTTGTTAATTCCATTTAACAGAGGAGGAAACTGAGATTATTCAATTATTCTATTGATGTTGCAAGTTCACACAGCTGGGATGCCTGAGGCCGGAAGTGGGACTGCCACACTGAAGCCAGCTCAGCTGGACAGCTCAGAGGGCCAGAGGGAGGCTGATTAATGAATGGATAGGGGGCGCTCAGCTCTGCAGCCTGGCCGCACTCAATCTGGGAAAATTTCTGCAAATCCTGGCTCACAGAAGCCAGGGCTACTGATCAGGGGGCCTCCAATTATCCCTCTGCAAGAAATTAAGAATGTGTCCTGTGCAAAGGATGGAGTGACTCCTGAGCCCAGGCCAATATGGCAGGATTCTACTTTTCTCTATTCTTCTGGCTGGAAGAGAGGTGAGTTTTTATTACCAATCCTTTATAGGACAAACCCCAGGTATCCTAAAACACCCCCTGGAGGTCTTTGGGAAGCCCCTGGTCTTGGCCATCATTTACTGAGCATCTACTGTGCCAGGTGTGTGGGCCTTCTCCTAGGGCACAGAATTAATGATTTCTGTACCTTCCCCAGGGCATTCCAAGAAAAGAACAGAAGTTTGCAGAGATGCATGCTTCAGCTGCGGCAGTTGGCAGGAGGCAGGCAGAACGGGTTGGCTGGAAAATGCTGGAGACTGTAGGTTTGAGCCCAACTCTCTGGGCCACTTGTGGGCATTATCTGTCTCTTCCCAACATGTGGAAGCATCTGTCCTGTTCTCGCAACAGGGATGAAGCATCTCATCTCCTCAGGTTTTATTACCTGTGGAGACATTGGAGTCTGGCCAAGTTCTGGATTTGCCTAAACCCTGAGCCCCAGGGCTCAGGTTGAAATAGCTGTTACTCTAGGAAACTGGGCAGCAGGAGACCTGCAGGCTTGTGTGGCTGGGAGGTAGACTGCAAAGGGTAGGTGTAAGGGGGTGGAGATTTCTAAAATCTCCTTCAGAAACTTTTCAAAACACAGGTTATTCAACACCATCCCCCTAGCAGATTTTGATTCAGTGGTTCTGGAACAATTCCCTATAACCTATCCTGTTTAAAACAAAGTTTTGTTGTAAATTTTGATCATCAAGCATATCAGGACTCATTAAAGAAGTGGGATGAGCCCTTGTACCCAAATACTGGGCCCCATCCTTATTAATCTTGGGAAAACCACCCCATCTTTCTGAGCGTCGTTTTTCCCACTTGATTTTTTTAAAACATCAGGATTTGTACTATAGCAGGGGTTCCCAGATGTGGAAATTATGAACTGGGACTTAAAATCTTGGGAACTGCTATGAAGACAGTTGAGCTAGATCTTTATTTTGTCAAGTAAGGATATGTATATTAAAAAAAAAAATCAAGGAAATTATCCCTGCCCCAACACCCACACTCTTTCTCTCACCATTATTTCTCATAGTATGAAATATTTTAAACTCTGAAAGTTAGTCAGACCTCAGTCTCAGAATGAAGGACTGCCCCTTCAGTGTATCTGACGGAGTTTGGATGTGTTGTCCCCTCCAAAACTCATGTGGAAATCTGATCCCCAATGTGGCAGTGTTGAAAACTGATTGAGTCATGGGGGCAGATCCCTCATGAATGGATTAATGCTCTCCCTGGGGGAGGAAGATTAATGAGTGAGTTCTGGCTCTATTAGTTCCCGAGAGAGCTCGTTGCTTAAAAAGACCCTGGCACCTTCTCTCTCTCTCTTGCTTCCCATCACCATGTGATCTGCTTGTACCTGCCAGCTCCCTACCACTTTCTGCCATGAGTAGAAGCAGCCTGAGGCCCGTGCCAGATGCAGCTGTCCCAGAATCATAATTATATGATTAATGTTCTTTATAAATTACCCAGTCCCGGGTAATTCTGTTATAGCAACACAAAATGGACTAAAACAGTGACACATTTGGTTTGGTTTTCTGCTGGGCTC